TTTTCTTAGCTTTTCTTAGCTTTGCCTGTTTTTTGACATGTTCCATGGTCTTCCTGTACTTTTCCTGCCATGCTGAAGACGCCCGCTTAGAAGCGGCATGGGATGTGTTTTTATGAATTGGGGCTTGTGGCTTGGGGCTTGAGGTCCTCTTGAAGTGTCAGGGCGTAGTTCGGATGTGTTGGTTCCACGTAGCCGTTTAAAGTTTGTTCCAATTTGGAGCTTGGCTGAACATCAAGACCCTAAAGCACACAGCCTTGCATCGTCTTTGGTGCTGAGTCCGATATATATATATATATGTATGTATATATATATATATATCTATATGTATACACAGACACACACACACATCCCACTTCGACATCCCAAGTAAATCTAAGAAGCTGGAATCTGTAGGGAGGTTTAGCTGTGAGAGTGAGCGTCGAGTTGTGGTTGAGGGTTCCGAACCATTCTCATCTAGAGGCAAGGCTGCCCGTAGTTGTGTTAGTATTTGTATACACGTATTAATAGTATTGGTATTGGTATTGACTGTCCGGGGTAGCAAAGATCTGCGACAGATGCCAAGTTGCAGAAGTATTGCAGGACGTGGAAGGCGATAAGATCGTGTTTGACACCAAGTCCGGCGTCGGACTGTGCCCCCTCAACGATACAGCAGTTTCTCACGTAGGTCGAAGTATCAGATTGTGATTTTATGTTCGGGATATGAGAGGAAGCAGATACCAAATGCCAGCACGACCACGTCTCTGTTGTTGCTGCTCCTTGTGATCTTCTCCTTCTTCCCTACTTTTTTCTAGGAGCACACTTGTAGTTGATACTGCTAGCGCCTAGCGGGTGACAATGAAAGCGAGTAGGAACACGGTCACCAGTTGCGGCCTGTACCCGTTGCGACAGTCCTGCCATTTGGACGACCACTGCCACAATTCCTACCATCGCTACTGCTGCTACTACCGCTGGCAATACTGCTACGACTGCTACTGCTGCTACTACTGCTGCTGCTACCACTGCTACCACTGCTTCCACTGCCACTGTTCCTGTTGTTACTACTGCTGCCACTGCCTGTTGCTGCTACTGTACTGCTACTCCTCTACTACTAAACCTACTATCAGTGCTGCTGCTGCTACTACTACTA